CAAACAATAATGAGTGTGGGTAAGAAAGTTCCGTCACTGAAGAGGTGCACAACATGGTAAAGCCGCTTAAATGTTTCATACAAGCTGGGCCTTATTTTGGTAGTTTGGGCCTTTGTTGCTATTGGTAGCAATAACAAACAGACCATGGAAATGTGACAACATTGCTAACAACCAACTTAACCAGTTTTCTTTGGAAGAGAAATTAAAAGCTGCTACTGGAACCGGTATTAAAATTCTTGTAAATATTACCAGCAACCTCCAGGTACAGCTTTGACCTACTTGCCCAGTCTCCTACTGGGTACTTGGTGTAGATGGGTGTTCACATTTAGAAATTTAGCATTTCTGTCACTTTTAATTTTACTTTCAAGTAAAGTGGTTTAGATAATCTGATTTAAAATGTTGACTGTTGCTTAAACCTTGCAAACTTCCTTGCCCTATTATTGTAGTGATGTCCCCATGTTCCCAGACCATACTCTTGTGAGAGCAGTGTTATCATAGGTCATAGAAATGATGACAATTTAAAACTAAGTTGTGGTTATAGCTGGACCACAGTGATGCAAACCGTTCCTGACAAAGAATATGCATGCTCAGCAGAACCTCACTAGATGACGTCAATTTTTTCCCCACTTTAAAACCATGTAGAACATCTGTGTCCTGGCCAAATTTCTGGAGACATTACAACTCCTATCTCCTTGTTTGCCAGTCATGAACAAGCTGCCTCATTAAAGAGCATGAAACAAAGCTCTGTGTGCTTCCACTGAACCATCAATGTGGTGAAATACTGCTCCACTGCTAGCAAAGAAGCCTAACCAATGTTTGGTAGAACACTTGTCCCAGTGTCCCAGTTTCATACTAATGCTAAGCAGGTTTTGAGTTTGTAGACATTCACAATTAAAAGTGACGGGGTGACTGAATTAACTATACTCTCACATGTCAGTGTCCATACTAAATCTGCCTCATTGTTGGTATGTCCCAGAATGCAGCATTTGGGGGTAAAAGCTACTCACAGCTGCAAGAAATTAAAACAAGATGATAGTGTGATAGTTCAAGAAATATCTCATAACATAATGCAAAAACTGCATCTTCAGAAAAATACTTCTTTTGCGTAAAGTATGATTTGTACTTACTTTCTACAGTGTAATTGACATCTTGCAGTGTATGTCCAGTTTCATTTCCTGTTGTACAAAATGGAAAAGTACACTGATGTCTTGTACACTAACTACAAAATAGTACACTATGAAAATGTAAATGTGTATATATGTCATTAAGGCATTGAATTGAAACAAAGCTAATATTAGTGGGGGGAGGGGGCAAATGGAAGTTTATATGCAGATGCAAATGTCCTCCACAGTTTTTATTGTTGTTCAGTTTGCCAATGATCCACGTCTTCAGGGCACATGACCTCATATGTACTGTATGTGTGTCACTTCTCTTTAGTCACAAAGAAACAGTTACTGGGTTTAGATTAAATATAATTATATAACTACTTCACCATATGGCCACATTACTTAGCAACACACAGAGAGACTGGAAAACATACCACTTTATCCTGTAATGCCCCCATTTTAATGTGTCCTACATTTCCATCCTGCAGACAGTGTGAGAGAAACCCCTGCCCCATGGACAGCCGCTCCTGTCACCTGGCTCCTAAGACTGTATCCTTCCATTACTTGTCTCTGCCTTCCAACCTTCAGACTCCTGCCACACTTTTCCGTATGGCGACTGTCGCTGCCCCTGGGCGCGCGGGGCCAGACAGCCTGCGCTTCGGCATAGTGGGCGGAAACTCCCAGGGTATCTTTGTCATGCAGCGCTCAGACAGACAGACTGGTGAACTGATACTGGTCCAGCAGCTCCGTGGACCACAGGAGACCAGCGTTGACGTGGACATGTCTGAGTACAGTGAGCGGATCTTTCAGGCCAAGCATGTAGCCAGGGTCTATGTTCTCATTTCACCTTACAACTTTTGAGAGTGTGCTTGCAAATGAGGAAGACTAAAGACAGAAAGGTGAAGAAAAACAAGAGTGCATAATGGCACTGAGTTTATTTATCTGTTTCTTGATCCCCAATCAAAAATTAATTTGTCTGAGTAGCCAGTCATAGGCCAATCTTTGTTCAGTGGCCAAATTACCAAAAGAATGAGAGTGTCAAATTAATATTTAACAGTTATATTTTTAGTATAACAATATAACAAATATAATAAAACCCATCATAGATGCTTCTTTAACTAGTGTCATTATGGCCTATTACTGATGGTGTTTGGCTGAGTTAGTCTGGATGTATAAAAACTAGCTAAACAAAAGCATAGTGAATGGTTTGGGAGGGATGGGTAAGTGTTGCAATGTTTGCCGTTACTCCATGTTTGTATTTTTATGTCCACTATAGAATTTTGAGTAGTGCATGGTCAGGCCCTGAGGCTGATGCTCTGCCATTGTTTTGCTGATGACAGATCCCTGTACGACATTAGTGCTCATGTGGCTCTAATTTATTGGAAATATTGTTTTAACATTGTAACATATGGTGCACCACAAGCTTATCTTCCATTATATATTGTATATTTGTTTGTTTTGTACCAGCTTGCCTTGTTTAAGGCAGCATTCATGATACTAAGAGAGTTGTTTTAAAGAGTAGATGCATATTTCTTCTGTTACTCATATTCTGCATGTTACCCAGAAATAACCTCATAATACTCTAAATCAAAGGTTATTTGGCAAGCTTGCCAATACACTACACAATTTGTCTGGAATTTTAATTGTCTCTGTGTAGCTGTAATAAAGTCATTCCAACATTTCAGTATTTGTTAGAACTACCTCGACTGATGTTGAACAGTGTGCTATTAAATGCCCTTGTGGCAGTGCTTCTCCTTCTACATCTCTTATGAGTTCATTTTAATGAGCGAAATGCAAACCAACACGTACTATAGCTGATAAGTGAACACTGGATAGCAATAAAACCTTCTGTTTAGAAAAGAAGAATGTTTTAGGAGCTCTGGGTCAGCAGTTCACAGACAGTACAAGTCAAAACAACATTTCCCACAGTGACATAAATACAATGAACAGTAATTCACATTTTAAACACATATCTCAATGTGTTTGTTTGGTACAGAAAGAAGAGACTAATATTCACCACATGTGTTCTCCTAACTTTCTTCACTCTCCATCCAGGGTTTTACATTGCAATAAAAGGAGCCAGAAGAGCTGCGTGCTTCCAGGAGGGAGTGGATGGTGAGAATCAAAACACATGGCCTGACCGTGCTCTGAAAATGACAACGTGCCTAAATGGCAGGCCTAATTTCCTTCAGTAACCACACCAGGAGTGATCACATTGCAGCCTTTCTTTCCAGGATTCTGCTCAAGCTGTTTGATCTTCACATGTTTCATCCATTCTGAGGCAGAAGGATACTGCCAGAGACAATTAGAGTAGGGAGATACAAAACTTAAGCCATTTGCTGGAGAGTAGTGATAAAAATATATAGTGAAAACTAGTGAGAAAGGCTGGTATTTAGCTGCAGGGCTGTAGTATGTGTTTGTTATTTTGTCTACCCCATGTAGGGTGACTATAAATGTTCTGGTCACATTCCATTCGCAAGAAACACAGCAACGTTTTCACAAAAAAGGAGGAAATCAGAAATTCTTGAAATTCCAGGGGAAATCAAATTTTGAACTGCGGTACATGCAGTATCTTCCTAAACATCTTTTGCTTTTGACTATGCAAGCAGAAACCATTGTCAAGTGAAACAGCTAAATCAATTTAAATCTATGAATCTTCATCAAAACATATAAGGCCTGTGTGTTACTGGTTGGTTAGCACAGAATGAAATACACTAGAGGAACTTTTCTATACTTCTATTGTGCAGGAGATGGGAAAGGTCATCTGTGGATAAAAGTTTGGAAGAAGTCCAGAAATATTTTAGAGTAATGGAAAGCAGAATGAAGGTGCATGCATGTGCTTTTGACTCTGACTTTGAAGTCGTCTACTGACTACCATTGCAGGCCATAATACTACTTTTGTTTGATCCAAATATGATTCTATTTATTTTATTTAACTTGTATTTAACCAGGAAGAAATAGCTCCATTGAGACCTGGGGACTGCTTTACAAAGGCTGAATATCAGCTTAGACAGGAGACAGACATCATGGGTCAACAACAAGTTGTTAAAAGCTTCTAAGTTCATATATCAGGATGCTAAGAAGGACCTGTCTCTTCAAAATAACACCATGTTTTCCTGTTTGTTTCCACAATGTTATTGTGATGGTTTTGTTGGTAAACTGTCTCCTATTACTGCTTGAAATGGAATATGCAAAGCGGTGTTAAAACCAAACAGATTTTAATTTACGTAGCAAACTCACAACCACAGTTAAATATGTATTTTTATTGGCAAATTAATACAAAGGAAACAAACATTCCTCAGCATTCAACTCATATTTAATCTGAGCGTACACACTTCCTGAGTAGGAAGAGAGAAGAAAAACTGCTGGTATGAAAAATTCAATCCCAGTTCTTCAAGACACTCATTAAAAAAACAGTCAAGTCACATTATCCAGACACCTCTCAACCTGCGGAAGTAAGAAATAACAGGAATCAGCCAAAGTCCATCTGTACAAATAATCAAGGTCCACTGCAGGTGTCTGCAGTGTTACATACCAGCACAATTATGCCATTTTTCCAACCAATAAAAACAAAAAACAGTGATCAGCTTGGGCTTGTGCTAACCACATGCTGTAACTTATCTGGCATGTCACAAAATAGAACGGCCTAGACAGAGAATAGTACAAGGCCTGCTGCTGCATTAATTCAAGACAGCACACGTTAAGACAACAACAGTGTTGCAACTCTAAAACTACACTGACAAAAACACCAGACCAGCCATTTTCAAAAATAATCATCCCCCCCCCCACCACACACACACACACACACATTTTAGAGTTATTGGAAAGAACATGAATGTTTTAAGGTGTCTGTGAAAACAATTTTATCAGCAAAGGAAGCAAACATGGCAAACAAATAAACGAGCTGCAGTTTGCCATTTGCCTAGTAGTAGTGTGAGATTGTTCAGGGTCCAAATTATAAAAAAGAACAAAACAAAAGGAAGCACACACTGTAAACACACTTACCATAAACACAAGTGAACATACGCTTTGACAAATTATAAATATGCTTGAAGCAAATAAATTATTAAACTCCATACTAATACACAGTATAGTGCGTCTTTTTTCAGAGGACACAAAACCTGTGCATCCACACATACACAGTAGATTCAAAGCATGACTACGAACTCCCAATTGTGCACTACTGAATACAGCAACATTTCAGTTCAGTTTCATGTTTGTGCTTCATCCCTCTCACACTTCATCACTTTCTGATGCTGAACATGCCAGGTGGCTTCAATCTGAGATACTTTATATGTGTGTATATATCAGAAGTAATACAGGCACAGCTTTGATCTCCAAAGTCCATAGCAACAAATGTTCTATTCAAAGTAACAGTATTAAAATTTTCAAAAAGTCCTTGTCTCAGTATTTAATGCTGGCAAAAGAAAAGATACTAGCACTTTGTATGTAAATACATACCATTTAATAAATTCCATAGCTTTTATAAACTCTCTCTCTCTCTCTCTCTCTCTCTCTCCTATGGCTGCAAAAATACTTTAGATAATTTGTTCATGTTGTTAATTACTGAGGAAAAAAGGGTTTTAATTTTCTCCCCATCCTAAACAAGCATCTCATTTTATTACAACCAACCACCAATATCTAGTCACCCTGAAAAGACACTTAATTTGTAAGCATGTTCATGCAAGAGACCCACTGTTCTTAATTCTCTCATAAATTTACATTGACATAACAAAATTAAATACAACACATTCTCTTTGGAAGGTAAATTGATCATATCTGGGAAACAGTGAAGCAGCTGGTCAATGAAAGATGGTTTACCGCTGGAAGAGTCCTTGTTCTCAAAGTTGAGGAAATGAACAGAAGACCCCTAAATAAACTGTGGCCTGCACTGCTCTGTGGAGTGGCAAAAGGAAGATCTCCTGAAAAACAAAATGGCACTCCACAAACCAAACAGAATTCCTGCCCTGCTACATAGTCCTGGGCAGCTGCTATAATTCTCCCTCCATGTCAAATGAAGGCTGGAAATATTTTGCCTCACTCCAGCTTTGACATCTCATACTTGGTCGTCATGATTTCCTGGGAAATGATAAGCAATTATAAACCAGAAGTTATTTCCAAGACCAGTCAATATTTAATTTTCACTTTCAGAAAGAAATCCCTCAAAAAAAAAAAGTTTCTGTCCATTATTCCTTCAACTATAGAGGGCGCAGTGTAGTGTTTGCTAAGGTACACTCCACTTAGCTTCACATAAGCCTTTCTTTCTTATTGTTTTTGGAAAAACTCTCTCATCACTATGGACCTAGACTAACATGGTTTAAAAAAAGCAGTGTGGCTTAATCATGTTTTGTACATCATAGAGTAATTCATACCTCATCTGAGTCGAGCAGGACTGGTAGAGCTCTGCAGTAACAAACAGAACCAAGGACTCAGAATCACACAGGCCTTATATGAAAACTTTGTTGAATTAATAAATATAAATTGACATGGTGCTTACACATCAGTAAGAGAGCTAGGAATGTTTTCCTCCACCCACTTCAAGTCTTCATCCTATTCAAAAAAAAAAAAGGATGAAAAATGAAATGCTGCCATCTGCTGAAATATGGGACACTTCACCAGGCACGGTTCCTGATGGTAAACAGCTGCCCTTATCATTTGTTTAATGTTTAATAAACCACACCAGTTTAAATTAATACAGAACTTTCACATAACAGTTATGCTACTTACTGGGCTTGTTTCTCCAGGCTTCACTGTGCCATTTGTCTCATTTTTAGCTGCTCTCAACTTTATGCCATCAACTGTGAATAACACAATAAAGACCAACAGAAAAAAAAATATACAAGAATAACATGACCATTATATACTCCAAATGTTTGCAGTGTCCCTGAGGAGAGGTAATGCTTCCATTACGTTACTGTACCAAAATTTCCAGAGGCGACGAACTCCTCAATCTCCTCATCATCAGAGTCATCGATGAGAGGTGTGAAAGCATACCTGTGAATAATGAAATTAATATACCACCACTTCCTGTTGTCATAATCATAGTCGTACTAAGCATAATGTACTACTTGCCTTTGGTTGTTTGCAGATGGCCTCCATAAAAACATTATGACAAGCAGAATGACAGAGAACAAGAACCTCCAGAAAGCATCATCTACCCACAGCTCAATCCAGTCCTTCACACCAAAAACAGGTCCAATTATCAAAACTATGTAAATCTTTTTCTTTTTTTTTTTTTACACTTCTACTCATGAATATGCCAAACCATACTCACAGACCGGCAAGCTGCTAGCTGAAATTTCTTTGCTGTCCAGCCCATGAAAACAATGGAAGCTGAGGAAGAGAAGGGCAAAGTTTGACCCATGATTCTTCTTCTCTTTTCCGAAGGTTGCTCTAACTGTGTGTCAATAGATTCATCTATTCTTACACACAAATAACCGAAAATCATTAGTGTAGTATTTTCTATTATAACTAGTACAACTTACCAATGACGGCAAATATTAGCGTGTTTGTAAAGTGCCTGTAGAGAGACAACTTGACAGGGTTTCTCCTCAGCTTCAGAATCTTGATGGTTTGTGCCAGACTGACAAAGATGTTAGTGGCAGTCAAGGTAAACATGTGGCAAACATAACATCCAAACCAGTATTAACAGTGGCTTGTAAAGATAAAACAGGTAATGGGGACCCTCCATCACAGATAACTCAGGACAAACCAAGATGGAGAAAAAGTGGGACAATGGCAGTTATACCAAAAGAAGAAAGCAACCAAAAATAAAAATAAAAGAGAACCGTGAGTGGGCATGCAAGTCATAGATTCAGCCAGTTCACACCCAGACTCTCCATTAACAGTACCATAAGAAAATGTCACTCATCGTGCAAAAACAGCAGCAGTGAGGATGGAGGAGGATTTTCAGAGCATTTAAATCATCAACCAGAAGAAGAAAAAAAAAAGACTTGTTATAAATTTTTGTAGTGGCTGTATCCCAGACTGCTTCTTCTGATATGCAGTACATCTCCCTCATTCACTGCTAATTATCTGGGAATCAATCGGCTGCAGGTCAAACTCTCCTAGTCTAATTTGGGGTTATGTGAAGAAGATGAGGAGCAGAGAGAAACCACACAGGGAAAGATTACAGGAACACAAAAGGATATCCACCAGCATAGAGAGGAGTCAAGCAGAGCCAGAGGAATTTTGGCCAGCAGGGCCATGTCTAAGTCTTTCGTCTAGAGGGGATGACAGAGCAGGACCAAAGAACACAAGGAGGAGATTATGGGGGGGGGGAATAATAATAATAATAATAATAATAAACACAGATAATACAGGAGATTAAAAAAGCAGCACTGGAAGTAAAATATAGTACAATTCATGAATGCAAATGTTCTAAAATCACTTGGCATCAATTATTTGACATGTATGTCCACTTTGTTGTTACACAAGAATATAATAACTACTGATTATTGATGTTGCTGAAGAATATACTGGAAGGATATGAACCAAAGGCAGCCAGACTCAAGCACAGCCAGAGCAATTGCTATAATGAGAGTGGGGCCATTGTCTTGACCCTTCATTTTTGTCCAAATCAAGAAAAAGCACCAACTGTGATACACACACAATCTAAAACACAATCTAACAACAAACCATGGAGTTTACACTGAAAATTCTTGGTTAATTTTCAGTCAAGCAGTGATAAAACTATACCCTGAAAGTTATCAAACTTGGTTTTGATTATTGAGTAGTAGTTTGTCATTTGGCACCGAACACTAGCTGGTTACAACTTCTAACATTTGTTTCCTCTTATTCAAATTGTTAGTTATTGTGTTATATTAATGGCCAGATTAAATAACCTATTTAAATTCATACTGTAACTTGTAACTTCTGATGGGCATGTATTATTGCTGACATTTGCGAAGACTTCTTGCAGTGTTGAAAAAAAAAAAAAAATCTGACAACACAGCTTACCCCAGTAATCCTCAGGACACCTTCAATGCTAGCAAAGGAAAAGTAGAGGATGCCGAGCCCCACCACTCTGTGCATCACTGTCCCCAGTCGAGGTCTAAACACAAAGAAAAAAGCTGATTGCCTGATCCTGTTTGTATGATCATTTAGGATTTTTCAATATAAACAAATGAGCAACTGTGTCTATAGCATAGATATATGTATTCTGACATACTTTACAATGCCATAGCCGAGGCTGACAATGATGACAAGCAATCGAGCCAAAGTCCTTTTAAGGGCAGAGACCAATTCGGCAAAGATCAACAAACCTGGAGCTAAAGACAAAAGCAAGGACAAAAGAAAAAAAAAACATTTAAAACCAAACATCTTTCTAGTGTCACTTGGAAATGGTAAAAAACATATTGTGATGTCCTGTAGACACTCACAAGCAGAGCCGACGGCATTGGTATTTTCATATTCAGCACAGAAGACAGCCTTCTCCACCATCCCCAGGAGTATGACCCCTGCTATCCAGAACTGGATCCTCAGCAGATCCTTCCAATAGCATGCTGCCCAGATGAACCACAGCAGGGCATACAGGATGTACACTATGCACATCACCATGTAGAACTAAAAAACACACAGTGGGATCCGTCTATAGACTACAACTCTGTGTTCCAGCAAAGACTCATGGGCACATAAAAATAATGTACATATATTTGCAATGAATGTTTTTGACAATCACAAAATGTGACTTACAATCATGAGAGGCCATTCGGTGATAGAAATGTAGCCATGACTGCCTTTCATTACAACATTAACTGGAAAAACAAAATCCAGATATTAGAGAGATGAAACATGACAGTGTTTCCCAGCACAGAGAACTGGTTTGTGGTGGAACAAGCTGTGATATTTGACACTTCACTGTCAGCTACAAAACAGCTCTGCATTTATGAGCCAGCTTCCAAATAAGGAAATCTGCACATGAATGCACTGATTTGGCAATCTTTTCAATCAACTTCATTTCCATGTGTATAAAATAATACAGGGTGATAATGTTCCTTTGTGCCAGCCACAAAAGTCTCACCTGTTAAATTCCAGCTGGCATCCTGTTTAGTGGACATGATCTTAACAACCAGCAGGTAAGGCCCATCTGTCCATGTGGTGGCTATGACATTATCTTTTATTTTCACACTGCTGTTCTTCACAGTGCTGGTGCTGTCATACTCCTCAGTAATCCATCTGTCATTTCCATCCTGCAGTGTTACAAAATATTTATGTTTCTCATCTGCTCAAATCTTTGCTAATCTTAATCTACATTCAGAGAACAGTTCATGTTTTCTTACTGGAACTTCACCGTCCACAGGTGGTTTGACTTTATGTGGATCTGCTTTGGCTTTCTGAAAAACACAGAAAGTTACTGGATGTTGTAATACACATAACATATAATAATAATAATAATAATAATAATTTGATAATAAATACCACCCTGCTAAATGTGTGACTATGCTGAAGAGAGTAATGTAACAAACTTACTTTGAGCATTGGAAAGGAGCGCAGTCTACTGTTACATGTTATGGGACCATGTATGTGCTCGATGTACTCTCCTTGTCCGAGGGGATTTGGATCCAGGCTCTCCCCACGACTCAGAGGTGTTTTGTCATACATTTCCTACACACAATGCCAGCCACAGTTCAGAACTCATATAATCAAGTCTAGACTGACAGACTGATAATTATTATGGCATTAAGATCTTATACTTACTTCAATATTGTTGAATTCATTGTGACAGGGGTAGTATTTTAGATACCAGTGAATATGGAAGGTCAGCTCCTCAGGACAGTTAAAAGACACAACTAAAAGATGGAGAAATAAATGGTGATAAACACAAGGGATACAAATATTTGTGACTGGTTGTGAGCACATTTTCTATGTCCTACCTTTCAGTTCAATGTCTGTGCCTTTATACATGGATTTCCTTAAGATCAGTGGTCCTGATGTCTGCAGAACAGTAGATACAGTTTATGATCTAGAGTGCAAGCAGGGATTATTTCTCTTATTGATCAATATATAATTAGTTTGGTGGACTAATTAATCATTTAGGTGGGATGGGGGCTCAGTGGTAAGAACTGTCCTCAGTTAAAATTTAATAAGGAGGGGCTGTGTTTGTGAAGAGGTCAAAATACCTGAGGGTCAGGTGAAGTGGAAACTTTATTATTGTGCATAGGTGTGAGCTTATATGTCTGTCTGTCTGAGTTCTCACAGACTGGTGGCACACCTAATACTGCAACTAGATATACAGTCAGAAACTGAAACATCTCAATACCTAAATTATTGATCAAGGCTTTCTAGTTCTCCTTGACCCAAGTCTGGGAAATGTGCCTTAATACTGATAAACAAGAGGAGGGATAAGTTCTCGATTGTAGGTTTTCATAAGTAATATAGTGTTGTGTAGCAGTATGGTGATAACGTTGAAGACCTAACATTAAATACACACATTAAATAAACCAGACTAAATCAAAACCCAGCTCTAACTAATTAGGCTTTTCTCTCATGAGCTCTGGGAGACTCCTTGAATAGCTGCTGAAGCCAGCTAATTAGCCGACTGCTAACCTGAAGTGCATATTAGTGCTAATTAGTTAATGTTAACTGCAATCTCCGCTCTTTACGCAAACACCCTAATTAAAAATCTGCTGGAGTTTCAGTCAAGGCTGGTTATCAAGACATCACGAATGAAGTACATGTTACACGACTGGATTGTCAACAGCTAGCATAACAAGGCTAATGTAGCCACATTAGCTGACCAGTGCTGCGGTTGTCCAGTAAGTCAACTAATTATTTGTATTTTAGGTACTCACATTTGCAACTGTGATTCTCCAAAGCCCTGTTTCTGGAGCAGCAACAACAGTATTTATGGTACTAGGTAAAACTATCAAAATGAGTGCCCACGGGTAGAAAACTCCTCTAGTCGGACAGCTCCACGTCCTCATCCTGACTGCAGTATCCATGTTCCTTGTAGCTTCGCACACTTCCAGCAGGAGGCGCCGTAAACACAGCAGGAGAAGGAAGAACCTCAATGTGAATTTACCTGTCACCTTCTGACCCAGCACAGTTCCTTATTAAGTTTATTCTGCCATGCCTGGCAGATCTCCTGATTTAACTCCAATCATCACACAGACTACCAAAAAAAGCTCTGAGTCAAGAGTTAGTCATAATGCTTAATTGCACTGTGCACCTGCTCAGAGTTCTGCACTGTGGCTTATTAAGTTCGGAGTTCACCCTTCTCCAGATCAATAAGTTGAGTTTCTGGTGAGTTTTATTATCAGTGGAATTCTGTGATAAGTGGAGTTGTCTAACAACTTCCAACACAGTCTGACTCACACAGCTGTATGACATTTCTTAAATGGCTGCCAACACATTGTCAAGTTCTCATTCACAGATTGTTGGTGAGAAGTGAACCATTATTCACCTGCACAACAGTTTCAATTTTGTATTTTTCCAAGTTTAGCCACTGTGTATATAGTATGTTGACTCCTAAAACATTATGCATATACCTGTTCTTCTTCTTCTTAAGAAGAACAGTTTTCCTTTCTTCAACTTGGTTGCCCTTTAAATTTAACATGGTCTTACCAAGCTCTGCGGTAGCAAGTTTGCTTTGTTTCTGTCTTGACGCGACTAAAACCTGTGAAATGTTAACTTGACAATTACACTTCTAAAAAACACTGTTCAGTGGTCAGCACTTTGAAAACAAAGCTGATGTGTTACATAGCTGAGTGAAACAATATGTTCTCATGCTCAACTACTAATCTAATACTAATACAACTAAAAGCTGTAAACTGTGAACTTGAGATTGTTTTGTCTGCTGATTCAGTTGTCACCTATGGTTTCTTCAGGAACTGCTTTCTCTAGTTATTCATCTTGCTTTTGACTCCACAACATACACTTTGACTCCTGTTACTATTCATTTTTCAGAGTTTGTGCATCAATACTTAAGTTGGACACTATTAATGTTGAGTGCTTTATGTATAGCATCAACTTAAATCATTTGTCTACCACTGTAAGTTTCATTATCAAATTTCAAATTAATTAACAAACCATTTATTTTTTACAGTATACAAGATCACTTTAGAAATGTTCTGTACATTTTTATATTAACATTGTAACATGGAATGCAGTACAGTAAACAATTTCACAGTTCGTTGTCTCTTAAGCTTATTGAAATATGTTCATTAATTGGTCTGATGTTGACTCACAACATTCTGAAAATTGACATGTAAGCTGGCCACGGAAAGCGCAAGTTACAGAATGTCCACATCAGGAAAATGTCAAGGTGCCTCTAGTGCAACAAGGCAAATAGTTTAGTACTGAGGGATCAAGATGACAGATTAATTACAGTTTTAATCTGTTGGGTACCAGTCACTATGGCAGGAAAGAAGTGTCTCTTGAACTGTGATCCGTCGCTGTCACGTCAGTATCCATGTCTCAGTTTGCTTGACTTAAAGCATCACTTGACAGAAGAGGAGTGTCCACTGCAGGAGATCTCAGGGAAGGATCAGAGGAGATTACCACCACATAACGATTGTTGTCCTCATCTCCCTCATCCTCCAGGCTCCCATGAATGTCAGCAGTAACTACTGAATGTTCTGCTACCTGATGGCTGCAAGAGGGGGAGGAACTGAAAACGGCATGTTCTGCACAAAGTGTTTCCCCATCGGGGTCCTCTTCAGGAAAGCTGGTGTTAATGTAAATGATACTGTCCTTGCTGAAAGACTCTGGCAGCCTTTCTGTTATCTTTTCTAGCATTTCTCGTAACTGGGTAAAAGTGGGTCGGTCCAGCGGATCATCCCTCCAGCAGCTGTACATGATCTCATATCTAGACACAGGTAAAGGAAATCATGCATTTTAATATCTCTTGATGCTTTTTTTGTAAGAGCCTTGTTTTACAGCTAACACAACCAAAGGTGTTAATTTCCAAACACATTTGCAATTTATATATTCCGTCTCTACTTGGAAATGGTGAACAAAACCATGCAGTTTCAAGTTGCTGGGCTAGGTGAAAGTAAAAATAATGGGAACTGAAAAGTCTATGTGGTACATATTAGTATTCCATGTGCACAACAACTTTACTTAACAATCAAACACAAATCAAAACTCACAGCTCATCCAAACAATCTGGAGGTTGCTTCAGTCTCTGCCCTCCGACAAGGTAGTCATAAATATCATGGTTAGGGATACCAGGGTATGGAGTGTTGCCTCGTGTAGCAATCTCCCACATGGTGACACCAAATGCCCACTGTGTGACACAGAAAATTAACTTCAGATATTTCATCGTGAGAAAAACTAGCAGTGCATACAGCAAACTTGTTTTCTCTGCTGTCTAGAAATACTATTACTATCCTAGAGTAACCCCTACCCTTAAAATGTGCTGACTTGAACATGTGCTAATAATTATTTCAAAAGAATAACTTATATTTGTATTTGCCATCCACTACAAAACTGTGTAGGCTGTGCATGTTTTCTTTTCAGAGTATATTTCCAACTGTCGTGTTTATGTTACAGTATGGATGACAGACATTTCCTTTCTGCATTCAGCTGCATGAAATCTTACTTTTTTTGCCAAATATCTCACCTGTTAACAAACCATTCTGTTCTTTCTTATACCATAATCACTTATCTCATTTGCTCTGATATTTCCATTGTAGTGTATCACAAAGTTAGTGTTTGTAAACAGTTCTTTGGAATTTCCCATATAGCCTACATTAATGATTGGTTGTATAATCTAATATATTGTGTGTTATTTGTGTTGTTAAATGTATGGGACTGATGTTGATAAGGATCCTCGTGAGCTTCTTAATGAGGCAAACGTGAGCATTCCTCTGAGTACAGCTAGCCGCTCGGTACACCTGTTTTTAATAAGCTGACAGATAGTTGGACCCAACCATAAACCTGAAAGACTATTGCACACAGAAAAAGATGTAGCCAAAAATGTCTGTGCATTCTTTTCCCCTGTGTGCATATGTGATAAGTCTAACTAAACAAAAGGAAATACTGAAAATATTTTGGGTTTGTGAACCCTTTTTGCACTTTGGATTTAGACTCTGGTATATACACTCTAGCATCTCCCTCTTTTTCTTTGGTTGAGTGTGATTTTTTTTAAACCTCTACTTTATCAAAACCTTCAGGAAATTGGATTTTAATCTACAATGTACTATTTTTAAAGTACTATTTTTGTCAGGTTTGCTCGGCCGCTCTGGCCTCCCTCACCTTTCCTACTGTCTCTGGCCCATTTACACTAATCACGTTCACCTGTTCCTCACTCCCTTATCACCAGCTGCACTTGATTAGGTTCTCACTATATTACCCGGTTTCACTCCTCAGTCACTTGCCAGTTCATTCTAGTCACTAGGCAAACTTTACTCCGTGCGTTTTCAATGTTTTGTATGTATTTGGCACCTAACAATTTTTGCACACTGATAAATGATACAAAGGACTGTCAAAACAAAATCTTTATCTTATCCTAAAAAGGAGGGATGATTATTTAAATCTAAATTCAGCCGATTGGTCTGTGTAAATGTCAGACAAAAGGGTTTGAACATTCATCTGTTATAGAGACAATATGCTGTTTGTCTGTCAGGTTCACAGGCTTGCATAAAATGACCAAAGAGTGACAGTACAGAAAAGACAGGAGCAGCTGAAGGTGCTTACCACATCACTCTTTACAGTAAAAACTCTGTCTGCCAGACTCTCTACTGCAATCCATTTTACAGGCATTTTAGCAATCCTGCCCTGCCTGTAATAATCTCCACTGTAGATCTTCTTAGATAACCCAAAGTCCGCCACACAAACTGTCATGTCATCACGCAGCCTGTAAGACAAACAAGAAATGGACCTTTCAAAATGGCATCCTGAAATAGTAAACTGAACCTTTCAACTATATCTTGGCTATAACTTTTTTTTATGTTTGCAACCTACATGCAGTTACGAGCTGCCAGATCACGATGCAGAAAGTTACGGCCGCTGAGATACTCCATCCCTAAAGCAATGTCAACCATAAACTTCAGGACTGTCTGAGTGGGCAAAAACTGTGGAAAAACAATTATAAGTTAATAATGTTTAGTCAAATAACAATTTATATATGCCATTGTTTGACTAAAATCCTACCATTGGACTCTCTCCCAGCCGTGAGCGCAGCAGGAAGCTATGTAGATCTCCATATTTCATGAATGGCAGGATGACCATGGGCTTAGGAAAATTCCCTGAACCTACTTCCAAGCACACACCTAAAGAGGATAAGGTATTACACAAAAATAATGTCAGGACGTGCAAAAGAAAATAGACCAGGAAACAAAGTAGCGAGATTTTACAACACTTAAAGAAGAAAATACATTACTCCTACCGAGGAGTTTGATGACATTAGGATGGTTGAAATCTTTCATACAGGCCGCCTCATTCAGAAACTCTTCAATCTCCTTTTGAGAGAAGCTGTCCACTATTGGAAGAAAGACAATGAAGTTAAATATTTGCCAGTTCTACTTGTTTTATAATTCAAAAGCAAGTAATGCAGGACTCACATTTCATTGTTTTCACAGCAACCTTTTCTGTTGTTCCATCTGGTTGTTTTAAACGTCCTTCTACCACTGAGCCAAATTCCCCTGGTGAAAAATAGAACTGAAACTTAAATACTTATACTACGTACAGTGCAATATGTGTTTCTGTGTAAATATCAAAAAAGAGAACCATGTAAATATGAATATTTTCTGTGCTTACACATTTACAAAAATGACAGTGCTCCCTTACCCTCTCCGAGAACTTTCCCTATCGAGAGTAAATTCCTGGTGATCATCACATCCTGAAGTTTGGCCTGGAGCTCTTCACTAATGCCAAGGCCGCCAACTGCAGACAGGACACACTAGAGTTATGATTTATTTAAAAAATGTGCACAAATGCCTACAACCATATTGTTTTTTCCCCCCAGTTACATTCAAGAACATACGTGTCATTCTTATAGGTGATCGATTGTAGGATCTCTGGGATTTGTACTGTATGACAGGCTGTTTTTCTTCACATCCAAACACTTTCCTGCCCGGGGAGATGGTGGAAAAAAAGAATGCTGAACAGTGCGTTAAAGTCATTACAACTCTGTAATAATACAAAACTGAAAAAGCGGTTGTAGTGAGGAAACCCTCTGAGTTGTTTCTTTCCTGACTTTGGGTTCAGACACAGTTTTGCCATCTGAGCCTGTGACACATTCCTATCCATATCCTGAGTAGCAAGACTGAGTCACAGAATTTATGATAATGAATTCCAGAATAAAAACAGCTGGTTGTTCACCTCTTCAGCTCTATGGCTATTACTGGTGACAATAGTGATTAAGAGGAAGTAAAGACATTATATTAACAGAGTCTATAGTGTTCTGTTTTTCCAAGTCCTACTACAATAGCAAGATTACTCAACATCCCCAGGTGCTGAACCAAAATGAACAACAATCAAAGATTGAATAAAAAGCAAACCATGTAGACCAATAGATCACCAATTCAGCAAACAACAGCAACTTCAAAGTTCAACTTCAAATAAGACAATGAAACCTGGAGCACCACTGGTAATTAAATCAACACCATGTTCGCACAGAAGGTGAAAGATTGTCAGCATACCTAAAAGAAGAGTCAGAATTCTTGTTGTGTACCCAGATAATCCCCGCGATGATAAGCAGCAGAAGACAGAAGCTAATCACCACACCCAGCACAACATAGAAAGAGTGCGGAACCCCAGTGTCAGGGCTGGACGATGGGGACACCGCTGCTTCTGAAACAGGCAGAAGAAACATTAAGCATGATCAAAATAAAAAAAAAAACAGCATTCAAAGAACTGATTTCCAAAATACACCATTCAAGATTGTTATCTGAATCCCATTACAACAGAAAATAGGATACTTCTTTAGTCATTTCATGTTAATCAACGATTTCACAATCACCATGATTATAGCAACTTCTCCATATTATCTAAAAGTGTGTATTTTCTGTCATGGCTGTTTCTAAGTAACCTGTTAAGTAAAGCAGGACAATAAATTGTGACATGCAAATGTTTTTTTCTTGTTGATCACTGACAATCAGTGTGTTGAAATTTTAGCTTTTTTCATTTTACATACATGTCCAACATATGTTTTGCCAGTGAACTTGGCAAGTTATGGCTGTTTTGCTATCAGCTCTGCAAAACGATTGTTGGGTACAGCAGTGCATTTAGCTTAATGCTAACATCAGCATACTAATGTGCCTGTAATGACAGTTTTAGCCACACAGATATATACACTCTGTTTATTTCTATATATAGTGTATATTTCTCTGGTTTAGCAGGTATAATGCTAAGTGTGTTAGCATGCTAAAATTTGCTATTACAATGAAAAGTCAGGGATCTCAAAGTGAATGTGATTCACAAAGGGACAATCAATATGTGTACCAAATCTGATGCCAGTTCATCCAATAGTAGTTGAGCCATTTCACTAAAACCAAAAACATCATCCTCATAGTGGTGCCAGAGGAAAAAGCTGGGGGTCAACAAGTGAGTAGGCTTCATCCCCTGGTGACCATGGATGTCTGTACACAGTTTCATGCCATTTCAAAAGATCTCAACATAAAGTAAAATCAATTAGCTGACTGCTAGTAGATGATGTCTAACACCTTAATATGTTCTATCGCTATTCATAGGGTTGTAATGTTATTCTAGTATAGTACAATATATTAGCAGAACTTGGTCTGTTTATGATGTTAACAGCCCTGAGATGATGACATGAGGAGATAAAACAGAAGAGCAGCTTACTGTCTTCTGGCACAAACAGCCAGACTCGTGGGCTGACCATGCCACTCCCTGCCTGTGTGCAAGCAGCCACCTCCACACTGTAGGTTGTGTTGAATTCCTGCACAGCTACAGTGGCTGTGGTGGTGTAACTGTGGATCTGAAATAACACACAGCAGCAGAGATCATTTAAATGTGGATTGTGTCTCGTATCAGGTGTCAAGACATATTTTATGGTTAATCATTATCTCTATAGAGAAACAGTTCAGAGAGCATGGGTCATGGGCTAAACAGGTTTAATAGTGCAATAACATCTTAAATTAAAAGAGATTTGCACATTTGCAAGTTTATGATAAGAGAGAATATTTTGAGGACATTCTGGTAGAACAACATGCCAAGGAACATCTTGTACATTTGTGTACATCTCACATTCAGCTCAGCAACTTTTCTGCGTCATGTCCTTTCTCAGTACATCTCTTTCTCCTTTTCCCCCTCCCCCTTACATTTACCGTAATGAACTATAACACATTAGAAGTGCAATTTTCCTCAAAGTCCATTTCAAGCTGTCACTCATACTATGAAACCTTTGTGGAAAATCCCATTAAAAGTATAGTGGGGATTATCATATATAATGAAGCTCCCTGCAAAAAAAGGGAAGGAGATGAACTTTCTGGATCAGCTATGATGGGAGAGAGCATGTGAGAGACATAGCCCTGTATTTCACAACACCATACAGAAGCATGTGAGGTTTCTCTGCTTCTTCATTGTGCTGACAGGGAAAGCTGAACCCATGATTAATGTCTGTCATGTCTGTGGCACCAAGTAAAACACAACCAGTCAGTTATATAGATAGATAGATAGATAGATAGATAGATAGATAGATAGATAGATAGATAGATAGAGATTAGGTTTGCAAGGATTTATACAAGTAAAGGCTAAATGTTATTACAGTACAACAGCAATACTCAACACCATTTGAGTATTAGTTGTTCCCCAATTTGGGAAGCAACCTCAAATTCAAAAGAAGGTGATGGAACCAACAATCTACCATAAAACACATCAAATTATGAGCAAACAATAACATTTCCAGTCACTGCTACTATACAAAGCATTTGTATATAATGACATCACCAAGTGACTGGATGGCACGTCAGGATATTTGTGCCTATGGTACGCATTCACAATGCATTTACTCTGATGAGTCAAGGCCACATGCTGAACGAAGAAAAACACTGGTTACCAGTTTTCACATCATCAGCTTCCTTTCACTGTGATACAGACAGGAAGGACAGGAAACACTATTGTACAAGAGAAATAGGGCAGTCACAGAAGCACTACAGACAAACAGCATCACAGAATATCTCAAAAGGACATTTGATGTAAACAAAAGGGGTTGTTACTAAGTTAAAACTGCTATTTCTTATGAGAGTGTATCTAAAAAGGCAGTTTGTGTAAAAGACATTGCCTGCCTTGTTGAGAGGAGATGAAAAACTGTTCACAGAC